CGTGTACAATGCAGGAAGACGTGTACAATGCAGGAAGACGTGTACAATGCAAGAGATAACTGTACAGAATTTCAATGTAGAAAAACAAAAGAAACATGCTAATATTGCTTCAAATTAAATTGATGTATAGCGAATTTCCCCTTAATGTATTTCATAGAAGGGCAATTTTCAAAATGTCGTCTTTCTTTGTTCAAATTCACAGTATCACAGCTCTATATGTGTATTTTGTGGTTGATTTTTAGCTAAACATATCCTCAAATTTAGGGAACAATTTAAATGCGGTATATGGGTTTTGTTCATTGCTGAAGGCAGTACGTGACCTATAGTTGTTTACTTCTATGTCATGTACTTTCTGGTGGAGAGTTGTCTCATACCACATCTTCTTATTTTTACATTCTTGTTCTTTTTGGTTTAGTCAGTTGCTGTGTCAAAACCCAAAAAACACTTTTCCGTGGTTCATTTGGTAGATATTCGTATCCATTTATTCTCATTTCGCCAAAAATAACAGCCACTACCAGCATCGTATCGATGTAAATATGTCATGTCTGATTTTAAAGAAAAGACAAAATTAAGTGTTTTGTCCTTTTATGCCTTCTGAAAAATGATAATTAATGGTCATTATATAAGAGCACTTTACATTCCACAATTACACCTTACAACTTCATCAAAAACATGTGCATACTAGTATTTGGTATCAATGCTTTTTACGTTTGAGACAAGAAAATTACATTAACAGTCAATATACGAATAATATAGTAACTTTTATGTTTCTATTTTGATGTCCAATAATGGGAATGAATAAAGAGAACCATGTTCATTTAAAGAATCCGATTTCTATTGCCTATTTCTTAATTGATGGCAATATAAAATAGTAAGATTTCTATCTAGAATATATATGTATATAACATGAATAAAAGGAGCTGTGAGGTAATCTTTAATGAAACAACAACCTAACAGCACAATTTGATTAATAGACATTAATAGAGGTCAGCATATGGTCTCCAAAGACTTTGTAATAGATTCAGCTACTCTGGTATCATTTATATGTACAAACTGATATGTGTTTTATTGCTATAGTATCCTTAACTTTCATTTAAAAAGATCTTTTGCATGTAACTAAATCAGTCATTGATTATTGGTTTTAGTTTCTAGGAAAAAAACAGATTTCAGAAATTTTATTTCTGCTCTTAAGTTCCCAGACAAGTTAACCATAGCCAATTTTTATTTCGTTTTTCAAAAACAACATGCTAAATCTGGCTCTTGTGCACAGCTTTTGTGAATACAAATTGGTAAATTATAGTAACAATAAACAGGACAATCGTATTATCAGAAATCTATTCTAAATTTATCCACTGAAAAAAAAACCAAAAAATACTAAAAAGTACGGAAGCGTATAAGCGCCACACAACTTTATTTTTTAATATTTCTTCCAATGTTTGCGTTATAACGCAAACCTTGGCGATATGACGCAAACATTTGCGTTATAACGCAAACATTTGCTTTATCTTATTTCTTATTTAAGATTCAAAGGAAGCAGCACTTATAAATGGAGGAGGCTGCATACATTAAAATTTATCCCCCTTTGTACTCATTTCAAAGTAAAATGCTTGAATATTTAGAACATATCATTGACTAATAATGAGTAGGATAATAGATATAAGAAGATGTGGCATGAATGTCAATGAGACAACTCTCCATCCAAGTAACAATTTCTAAAAGTAAACCATTATAGGTCAAAGTACGGTCTTCAACACGGAGCCTTGGCCCATACCTAACAGCAAGCTATAAAGGGTCCCAAAAATTATATACATTATAATACATGTATATATATTTCACAAAGAAAATTGAGTAAATTGAAGTTATATCGAAGAATATAAAAAATCAACTCTGCTAATACAGCTATAGCCAAATATAAATATACTTCCAAAGTAAGCTCTCGTTTGAGGATTGTGTAAGGTTGGTTAGATCCAAACAAGCTACCTGGTTGCAATAAAATGAAGATGTTTTATTATTAAAATTATGTTCTCTCCATTCAAATTTCTACCCAAGCATCTTAAAAGTCACTTCACTAGATTGAAATGAAAATTCTATGACTTTCTATCAAAGAATCTTTATCATACTCTGAGATTTAGAACTTGAAACGATTTCTTGCACCAAAATTTAAAAAAAAATGTTTCTTTATTAATAATTCATTTTAAAGCAGAAAGATCAGTGTGTGCATTTGACTTGCAAGTTTCACAATTGTATGACATTATTTTTGCTCTTTCAATTAAAATATACCTATACCATATCTATTTTCTTGTTAAATTATATACTTTTCCGATGCACATATCATTCTTAATTTATGTATAATGGCACTTCAAGTATTCCCTTATTCCTATGCATATTTTTTATACTGATTTGGCCTTGTATTTATGGTTCTTTTCTTATCTAAAATCACAACAGAAATTAATGACAGACGGACATATATACAAAACTTAATGAATAATTGAAATCAAGATGTTTGCGTTATATATATAACGCAAAGGTTTGCGTTATTTCGCAAATGTTTGCGTTAAACGCAAAGGTTTTGCGTTATTTCGCAAAGGTTTGCGTTATAACGCAAACATAGGAAGAAATATCAAAAAAAAAAGTTGTGTGGCGCTAATACGCTTCCGTAAAAAAGAATAAATATCTCGGTCATTTTTTTTATATAGAATCTGCTGAAATTTGAATATTACCTTAAACATGATTAATGAGTATCAAAAAAGTACAATTTTGATAGTTAAATTATGTTTAAAGTAATATTTCAATGAATAGAAATGGCAAATAGAGCTTTTGGGAAAAAATATGTTTGAAATTTTTAATATGGACGTGGGGAATAGCATGAAAATGAACTAAAACAGCACAGTTGTTTTGCCAGTAGGTGATGAAGAAGACATAACTTCATTTAAAAAAGAAAGTCGTCTTTAACCTATATATGTTATGTTCTCACTACACAATCAGCCTGCAGTGGTATTTTTCACTGCTAAAGCCTAAATTACAACATGTTTTTTCTTCAAAATTGGACCTGCAATGAAAACATTTGCCTTAAATAACAAGAATGTGTCCATAAATTGTCCATGATGCCCCACTCGCACTATCATTTTCTATGTTCAGTGGACCGTGAAATTGGTGTCAAAACTCTAATTTGGCATTAAAATTAGAAAGATCATATCATAGGGAACATGTTTACTAAGTTTCAAGTTGATTGGACTTCAACTTCATCAAAAACTACCTTAACCAAAAACTTTAACCTGTAGCGGGACAGACGGACTGACGGACGAACGAACGCACAGACTGAAAAACATAATGCCCTCTACTATCGTAGGTGGGGCATAAAAATTGGATAGAGGAAAATGTTTCTGAACAGCTTTGTTTAATACAAGAGGATTGAAATATCATTGATATATAGCAATAGATTTCAGAGAAATGGAATAAATCTAACAAAACTCAACAAAAGGATGGGGAGTCTGCACTGTGTAGTAAAATACCATTGATACATTTATCTCTTGAGAAATCTTACTAACATAAGTTTTGACCTAATAAGGTACATTCTACTAAATAAAGATCATATGTACGCACATGGGTAATTCTATATATTTCCTTGCCATATTTGCAGAGTGAAAAAAAAGAAAACAAATTAATGTAAACAAATTAAAATATCCTATAAAAACGTGTAAGCATACTGATTTTGATTTTTTTCAGTAGGAATATCTATATATTGATTGTTGGCACCAAAAAATTTTAAATGGTATATTAACAAGACATTTTAGAGCACTTTATGATAATAATGAATACCAAATGATAGCAGATCATATTGGCCTTTAAGACAGGTAAGCAAAATGATGTCATGGAAAACAGAATCTTGTCCAATGCATTTTCATATATACATGTAATGAATCCACAGAGAAAATTTCCACTAAAGCATGTATAAAACTAACCTGCAACAAAGTACAAAAATTTCAATTTCTTCTGTGATTTTTTATATTACTTTATACATGATTTCACTGTAAAAAACAGTTTAGGTCAGCAGATTTTGATTTTATCTTACTAAAGTTACCAAATTTTGTTCATTGGATTTTTTTTGAAAAAAGCTTATTGATGTGACCTGTGTATATTGTGACGGTAAATTAACAATTTGCATTTTGAGGAGAAACAACTTCATATACTTACAACCTAACCACATAGCCTATCATGTAAAAATGCTAAGGAACAGACTTAATCCTTAAAATGTTCTACTGTAGTGTGAAAATGAGGCTGATGACAAATGACATATGCCAAACATACTCCTCATGACCAATCCACATACTAAATATTGAAGTCCCATCTTGTATAGTTACTGAGGAAAATACTAATCCTGTAAACTTAAACTGACCTTGGAAAGATTAAATGAGGTCAAGGTCAAATGGAATGTTAAGACAAACATGCAAAATATTATATCAACCTATCGTGTAAAGTAACTAAAGAAACAGAAAACCTCAAAATGTAGTCTAACTAGGAGGGAGTGAAATACAGATGTGATCCTAAAACTAAACCTGACAACTGAGGAGTGAAACTTGAAGTTCTAGTGACAATGGTTGAGAAGGTCTCAGACAAACTTCATCAGTACAGTTCTTTGTTAACCAAGGTACGAGTGTAAATAAGATATTACAATAATTGCAAATTGTTAACACTCTTACAAGATAAGCAATAAATATTTTAACCTATTGAGATTTTTGCGGCAGGCGAGACAAAGCCAAATTTCATATTTTTCTGAGGAGTCTCTTACAATTTGTGTATTTCTCTTTTCCCCCAATCTAACTATATTCAAATATTGATTTGAAGTTAAGAAATGTCGGTCAGAATCTATGGCTAATTAAACTATCCTGTACATTCATTTTTATTTATGTTACTTGTTGACTCTTTGAGACTAAGGACATCTTGGTACCATTCTAATTCAGCAGTATAAGATCAGTCATTTTGTTATAAAATTAAAATCCTTTACTTCAATTTTTTATTTATATGTTCAACATTGTAACAATTATGAACAAACAATATTATTGAACACAATAAGGTGATAATTAAAACATTGCATCATATATCACATTTAGAACATTAAATAATGGTTAAGGAGTAGGTCTCCAGGAATGCCCTATTTTGACCCTGAAAATTAAAGTTTGCTACATTGCACCAAATAAGCAGATGTGAAATTTCAATAATATTAAGTATATATATCAATTTTTTCTAAATCTTAAGTGCAATTTATTTAGAACAGTTTATCTCCAAAACTGGGTAATTTTCAAGATTTTATGACAACATTCCCTTTAAAGCAAATATGTACAATACTTCCTTTTAAGAAAAGCGGGTACATGTATCACATTCTGACAACAAATTTGTAATCAAAAGGCATATAAATGTAATATACACAATATAACAAAAATCGTTTTGCTTTGAGCATGTGCCTTATGGTTTTAAAATAAAAAGCTATTAAAAATTGTTTATAAAATATATTTTCCTGAGTCAGAGTACATAATTATGATGTCACAATGATATCAAAATCAAAAGCTATTTTTTTTTGGATATTAAGGGCAATTAAAAAAAACCTTTTTGAGCCTATTCCCTTTTAATGAATAAATTCAGCAATAAATAATTTGATAAACACGTTTTGAGTCATGTAGATATTTGAATTCAAAATCTTGACAATTTTTAATGTCTGTTGAATAAACCCTAAATATATCTGATCTGACATAAAGATAATTAAATACAAACAAGACCAAATGTTCAACATTTTAGTCTTGACTATAAATTTTACAAACATATGTTGATATAAATGTTACAATCAATATTAAGAATTGAACAAATTAAAAATCATTGGAATGACAGACTTTTTAGGTTAGTTCTGGCCTCCACAAGAATATTTAACAGTTATCTCCCCTTTCAATACAGGAAAAATCAGCGAAATAGAATAAACTACATTATTTTTCAGTTTCAAACATTTCTTGACATTTTGCTTTATTCCTTTAATTTCTTCTTCTGCTCATTATTGTTATTTAAAAAAGACCATATTTTTTTAGTTTAGCAGAACAAGGTTAAAATGTATCAGGGGGATTTGTACCAAATAGTAATAACTAGATAACAAATTATCAAAACATGGAGACTGTTTACCTAAAAATATTTCTTTTTCAGCTATTTGAATTGATTTTTTATATGTATAAATAATTCATTTTCCAATCTTATTTCTTCCTATTTAATAAGGAAACCGATTGATTTAATATTCAAGAACATTTTTTTTTTAATTCACCAAACAAGTCACTCGTTAATACACGGAGAGTATATAACAAGAGCAAATTGAAATGCATTGATACAATAATAGTTCTCCATAAGAGTACAGAAATACAAAATTTAAGAAAACAAATTAGGAACAGATGTCAAGAAAAATATATTGATTATTTTCTAAAGAAGTGTCTAACATCATTAAAATTTGTCATATTTTTTCCAGTACAGTAATTAGGTAATCAATGTGCTTTTCTTCTCAAATCTGCTACAGGCTATTTCTACATAGTCTAGATCTCTAGTAAAAAGTGTCAGGAAATATTCATTAAAATAGTCTTGTTAAGATGGTTTATCTTGTCTAATGTGACTTTTCATACCTAAATGAAGTGTAGGATGCCTTATCACTGAGCACTTTTACAAGTTCTGACTAATCCAAATAATTGTATCCATCAGAATATTTAATACTTCAGTATGAGACACAATAGTATTCTTAATAATAGGGATTTAGATAAGGGTCTATTCAAGTACACATTTAATATCCAGCCCAAGAAATGTGAAACCTTTATACTTCAGATTATAGATTCAAATAATACAATACCTGACAAACTGCATCAAATCATTATTGTATTATTATTATGTTTAGGAGATCAAGAGACGGAAAAGATCAAACACAATCAAAATGTTTTGAAAATAACAGAGAGAGTATAATAATAAATTCTAACAATGATTTATCTAAATTTATCTTGCAAATGCTCAAAATATCACTTCAAATACATCATAAGAAGACTATAATAATTAAATATCATTTACAAATATTATTCTTTTAGTTAACAATCTGTCATTCTTTATATAACTGAACATTAAAATGCTGGTTGTTCAAACCTTAAAGATTTATTGCAAGTGATCACGACATGTATAGTTGGTAGTTACTTGAAAAAATATCTACAATGAAATCAATTTATTTCATTCAGAAGGTAATTGCATAATGTGTTTGGAATTTTTTATGTACAGTAAAATGCATGTTTTTAATAAATGAAAAAAATATTTTACAATTTGTGAAACAAAACAATATAAAAATAAATTGGATTACAAAATAAATACCTGAGACAGATTATAAACAAAATTGAGAAGAGTTATCTCCCATACTGCACAGTTGTGAAAAGTCTCAAAATTTCAACTTATTTTGGATAAAGTGAGAATAAATCATACTATCCTTTTTCCAAACAATGAAAAATCAAAACAAACCTTTGAACTCCTGATAGCAAATAAAACCTACATTATTTACAATTGAATGTTAATGATTTGAGTAACCTGCTACAGTTTTCATTATGCTGTAAGGTTTTAGTTCCATCAACATTAGACTAGGAAAACTTTAACTGCAATTGATCACTTGACAATGGTCTACAAATAGTTCTGGTATTATACTACAGGTCTCTTTATCAGATGATTTTATCACCAATGGGCACTTAAACTACTTAATTATCAATTTACTATAAAGCACATTTGTAAGTTTTCGAGTCATGATTCCCTTCCTACAGCTATCACCTGAGACTTGGAGGGAGCATACATAACAGATTTGGTATAGTCATCATGAAAAGATGTATATTCCACTGAGGTAAACGGAGGTTTGTAGAGACTGTCTATAAAAGGAGTTTGTATCACAGGATAGTAAGATGGATTAGAAGGCACTACTTGTAAATCAGAATGCTGCTGTTTATCATGTTGTTGCAATCTGAAAAAAAAGAGAAGAAATTAGAAATAGTATTATTACAAAGAGTGCAACTTCCATATACGGTACATTTTTCTTGAATAAACGAAATTCTAAATCAACATCTTGTACATAATATACTTATATAAATAACGTTCAATATCTTTCCTATAAATTGTCTTTAACGGAAAAAGGATCCTGATAACTCTGTTATATTTACATGTGTATAATGTCACATGGACAGCTATTTCAGGTACATGTACATTGATCTGACAAAGACAATTAAAATCTGACACCATCTGCAAATCTTTAATATAATATAATTTAAGGAGATGTGGTATGATTTCTAATGAGACAACACTAAAAACCAAAGAAGGAGGGTGTAAAATATTATGGGTCACAGTAAAGAAACCCTAATGCCTTGATCCTTAAAATCAGGCCAATGCCAAATCACATAAATATTAATTGTTTGCATTTTTTTTTATCACAAAGGCCATGAAGGAATAAATATCAAAACACCCTGTAACTCATCCTTCTGTGACCATACCAAATATCAGTTAGAATTTTAAATTTTTAAACATTGCTCCACATGCTCCATGGCCTTAATTATTTTAGCATTCAAATGAAGACTTGTTGATAGAGATTATCTCCTATATAAAAAAAAATATTTGAGCATTTAACATGGTCTGCATGGTTAGGAGATATTAATTATAAATTCATTGATTTTATCAATTGTCATGATTGTATTTTGAAGCTTATAGTAATCCTGTTGAATATAAGCTCAAAATATTTAAATCTTTAGACTGAAAAACTTGATCAAGAAATCGTGATTCTTTATGTAGTAAAAGACTATAAAGTTTTTAGTACAATTATTAAACCGGAAACTGTTATCAGACACTGTACGTAAATTAGTACTTGAACTATCCCTCAACAACTAGTTTGAAATCCTTAAATGTATTTAATATTTAAAGATAGGCAAATATTTGTCAAGTTTCTTCTGACATCATTTTGCCAGAAGTATCACTTTAATTGAGGAAAAAATAACCAAGTGGAAAATATTTACTTCCAATAAAGAATTTTTAAATCTAATGTAACTATCAATCATCTATTTTAAGCTTTTTATCATATTGCAGTCAATTCATATTCAAATAAAGGTGTAGCTGTAAACTTTCAAAGGTAACTTGTTATGACATACTATAAAATATGTTCTGTTAAAAAATGTATATGATAAATACACCTTATCAATCATTACATATATACAAACTAAACAAAACAAACAAAAATTGGCATAGAAATTTTCATTAAGAGTACATTTTCTTGAAGATTTCATTTTCGATCTTCCAGAAAGTTATTGAAGGGCCTTCTAAACATACTAAAGAACTATATCGATAAGAAATTAAAAATATTATGTATATCTCATAACATTCTTAGGGGTAGAAATATGATGTTGTGTCTAACTTGCCAAGCAGGCAAGCTCCTTAAACTGACTTGAAAACAATGACATTGACTTTCCCTTTTAAACAGTGTAAATAAGTGAAATAAGTTGACCGTGTGCACAATTTACTTTTGTCTAAGTTTGCCCTGTAGAAATATTACTGGACAGAGCCAATGGGAGACCTCTTATTTTGACCTGTTCAATTGTACAAATTTTAAGCTGTGTTCTCAATAAGGTATTTTAGCATTATTACTGTGATCCTAATAAAATTCAATTTCTTTAAGGTTGTATAAGAAATTTGCTTTAAACTGATGCTATATATTTCAGCAACAAAATACTATTTGAAAATTTCTATGCTAGAATACTATTGGAAATATCTTGAGAAATACTATTCAAGAGGCAAAAGTTTAATAAGAATCTTGAATTAAAAATTATAATTGTACCTACCTGATCATCATATGAACACAAGGTAATAATTCTTCTATATAATAACCAGACATTAACTCTAAATTTTTTGGCCACGTTGGAGTCAGGTGGAGACAGATTCTAGATGCAGCAATACATGATGCAGCAATCATTGATGGTAAATAACTCCTAAAAGTGTGTTCTGAAAAAGACATAAATTTGAAAAAGATAGTGCTACCATTTATATGACCTGTATACATCTAAGCAAATCCTCTTGAAGGCAAGTGTCACAAGATGTTTAGTACAGAGGAGAAAATGATGTTTTGCAAGATACTAAAACTACTTGTAAAAGTATTAAAATTTCATCATAATGAACCGTTCAAATGAACAGATTATTTATGGTTTTAGCATAAAGTTTTCTATCTGATTATTCAAAGTACATGTATAAAGCAATAATAAATAATCTTAAATACATTAGAATGAATTCTGCTACTTAAAATTCTGTATTGAATTACTTAAAGCCACTCTGTGATATCTCTGTTTGTTGTTAAATGTCTCACTGATGTTCACTCAACTTTATTTTAATAACTAAGCATAATATGTGTTCTAGCTAGGGTTTAAAATCAGAGGGGCAGTTTTTAAGAAGATAGCACAGTTCAGTTTCTTGTCTGAAAACTTTTGATCACGTTTTTAAAAAATAAATTATTCAATAAATTTATGTCTTTTTCTTTGAATTATAGTATTTTTGTTTGTAAAACAGGTTTCCAGAAGTTAAAAACATTTTTTTTGCATTAAATAGTATTTATTTTGCTACAGAAAAACAATAACGTATATGTGGGAACTATAAGGGCAGAGGGGTGCACACAAACGGCAAAGGAGAGCTGCAATTCTCTACTTTTTGCTAAATAGGGCACTGATCATTAAATTAAACTCACATTAAAAATGTTTTAAATTTCAAAATTAAACCAGTTACAATTTGTTAATATCAACAAGCCAATTTAGATAAGTTGCCTATCAGTTGATAGTCCATACAAGATAGTCCCAGCTGCTAGGTCTATCTCTGGCGGACACAACTTTATCATTGTCAGCATGATTAAGTTTATCTACAACCCTAAACTGACAGTCTTGTGTGAACAAAATCTTCCTTGATACTAGACACTTAAAGGAGGGGTTAAAGGTTCTCATGCTGACTTTGAAATTTATTCTTTGTGTCATATAAAGATTATTAATAAATGAAAGATATAGATAATTTGACACGTTTTCATTTTAAAGTCAAAGATTTTATTGAATTCAAATCAAATTTTAGGATTGTTATCAAACATCAATACAAACAAACAAAAACAAACTACCTTTTTTTTTAAATTCGAATAAGGAGGCCCAACTGACAATGTTTATCTATACACACAACAACACCTTACTTTATTCATCAAGTCTTGTCTTTTTCAGTGTATATATTTTACAGTTATCATTTTAATTTTGTAAAAATTTGTAAATTGTACAAGTATTTTTTCGTCTTTATTCCCAATAAAAATGGTGAAATTGTTTTATAAAAAAAACAGTTCTAGAAATAAGATTGTTGGTTGCTGTGTCTCAGAAACTTTATCCTTCTCCTTAGTGAATATAAGATGTGGGGTATATATGATGTCATTACTGAAACAACCCAACAATACAAAAAACAAGCAAAAAGACATACAGAGGTAAACATAAGGTCTTTGAAAATAGCAAAATGTCTACACAATTTGTTAACCTCTTAATTGCCCTTATAGCCACATTCAAACTAAAAGCCTATGCACATACTTCATTGCTTTTTACCTACCTTGTAAAGAAATCTCCTGAAAGTAATGAGTATGTTTCTGTAAGTATGATTCCACAACTTCTTTACTAGATATAGGAATACCATTTCTTAAGTCTAAATTGTCCACAGCTACTAATAAATAATATGGTAGAAATTGAGCACATGTTGGAATAGATAAATTCCAGTTAAAGTAACTTAGCACTGTTAGTTCCATAGATCGTAATTCTGACGCTGTGTACTTTCTAATGTCCAGTAATCCATGAGATGGTATAAAGGCATTTAAACTAGCTAGTCTTGGTCTTTTCTCACAATGTTCTTCATATTTTACTAAAAGAAAAAAAAACACATGTAGCATGATGTGATTTTACATGAGATAATTAAGTAATTCATGATTAAGCTGTTCAGATTTTTTATTAAAAAGTTTGATTAAGAACCTAGGTATTTCCCAGTATGAAGGACAGGATGGCATATGTTTTGGTTTGAATTTCATTTTATGCTAGAAAGCCTTTTAAATGAAATAAATAATGATTATTTTTATTTTTTTAGTATAGGTATTTTGATTTTCCATATAAACCTCTTGACAAGTCTAATATTTCTATAATACAAACTGTAGTAAGGTAATAGTGAGCAAGACAACCACAGTCAACACCTTATCATTCCTGAGCAAAATCATTTTAGTTCATCTCCAGTCTTTGTTGAGGTTCCATATGTTCAATCTTAAGGTTTTTTTTGGGTAGTGTTTAGTGGACTATTGTGGTCTTTTTTTCTATTTTGAGTATGGCATTTTCTGTCCTTCTTCAACTTATCATGCTTATGATTGTTATTGATCCTTGGTATTTATTTCAGTCATGTATGGAAAGAAATGTCAAACTCAATCAGAAAAAAATTGAGACCATGTATTTCTTAATCTTGTATTTCTTTTTAATACAAGTAAGACAACAATGGCAGGCATGAAATATTTACATAAGGTGGTATACCTAAGGGAGATAATTAAGTTTGTTTTTCATATAATTAATGGACTAAACAAATACTACATTGAAAATAAACACCCTTGTATAATTCTATTATTTCATACAGCCATATCTTTCTAATACTCTATAATCCACTTAATACTCTTCAAATATAATACTATTGGCAGGATTAGAGTTTGAAATATAATATTTTAATTTACAGTCTAAGAGGTTTAAATTAATGAATAGGTGCAGCTATTTAGTCTTTAGACATTATTTGATTAAGTTTACAAGACAAATAACAAACTGCACTGTGACAAGACTAAATAAAAATATCGTTGTTGGATATAGCCTGAATACATTTTATGCATATTAATCTAAATAATTTGAAAATTGATATTTTAAAACCATACATGCTATATTTTAACTGTAATGTATCATGTACATTATTTATACCTATTTATGGTTTCTGGCCTTCTGTGTCGTTTGTTGTTAATATTATGACATTTATTATGTAATGTTACACATATTCTATATGTCTTCACAGTAATCTTGAAGATATATGGATATATCACTGTCATATCATGAATGACTACCAATATTAATTAGTTTGACTAAATCAAAATATTTGGGAGAAAATCCAGTTGTTCAAGTCTGAAATATGTGCATTTAGAATAGTTCATGTAATAAAAGTGATGTCAGAAGTGATTTTACCTGCTAAACAAATACATGCTATAGCCAGCAGATATAAATGATTTGTGTCCACTTCTAACTTTTCCATGAAGAAATCTAACAGATAGACAGCTAGATGGTGGGAAGTGATATCTAAGTTAAAATTTTCCACTATTACAGATATCCAATCCACTAATTGTCTTCTAGCCCATAGTTGTGGGGAATGGCAACTGTATGTTGTAAAGTTATCTTGTTCCTTTTTTCTCATTGTGTCATAAATATCCTCCGCAACTTTGTCCTTCCACCATTCCACTGTCATTGCCATTGTGAAAATTTTCCCAAATACGTAACATTTATTTATTCAGTTCTTGATTTTATACTATAGTTTCCTACAAAAAATATAAAATTGAAAAAAGATATGTGGAAAAAAATATGAATTTGATATTTTAATATTATAAATCAATTGCTTTGAATGCAAATTATCTGCTCAAATTGCTGTTAAGACTGAATTAAACACCAAATGTATATCCTGTCTCATTCATGTCATTTGAATAGTCATATTAAGTTTCCTATTAAACAGAACAAATATAAAACACCTTCTCACATTTGAAACATTATACAGTAAAAAATAATAAAAAGCTCTACCTTCTTAAAATATTTCTCCATCGCATATAAATAATTTAGTAAAAGATATTTTCTTTGTTACACCCAACACTTAGTAAATCAGATGTCACTATGTTACCTTAAGCTAAAAACTCATTTTCAATAGCCAACAATAATCCTTTCCTTAAATACTGAACACAAAGTGATAACATTTTCTCTTAATAACAAACCTCTTAATGTTTATTATCAAAGCTTCTTAAAATCTTTATAACATCCTGGCAACACAAATTTGATCTCCTCAAAAAATATTTTTCATTTAAGAGGAAATGATATTCAACCATCTGACTGAACCTTTCTCACTGATATAAAGATGACAAGAAATTGCAGTCCATTGTCCACCATAAAAATGGGCATGTGAGTGTGAAAGCCAAGCTGTGGGCAAACCTCATGTTGAGTCTTTGATAAAAAGTGTCATTATATTCAGATACAATCTATCTTCGAATTACACAATACCAGCTCTGTCAAGGATCAAATAATATCTAATCTGGGTAAACAGACCCTTGTAATTAGGATTAGTTTTAATTTGATAATGACCTTTACCACTCCACCATATTTAATAGTGCTTGGTATACAATTCATGAATCAATAAATCAAAATTAAATCAAATTGAAAGAAATATTTATTCAGAAAATAGATTTTAATAAAAGCTTTGAAAAATTTCAAATAACTATGATAATATATATGGTTTACTGAGGATAATACTTATTTAATAATGTATGAAATAGCACTGTATGACTGTGGATTTTTCTATGCTCAAACCCTTTCTTGTTTAAATAATCAATTATTACTGTGCTTATTTTGAACATTATTCAAAAATAAAATAATTGATTAGTGAGAAAACCATACCTTGACAAGCATCTATTCAATTCAATACTATGTGATATTTTTAATATACAAATATTGATGAAAGATATGTGTTAAAATATTTATATTATGCATACTGCTTAACTGTAAAAAAAAATTTATAAATGATTTACTTAATTTAAAACAGTTTCTGAGGGCTAAAGATTTCTCTAATAAAATTTACATTAGTTTTTAATCAGAAGTCTGACATCTGTTTCGATATCATCAAGGCCTTGATATTATGAAGCACACCTTTTTTTCAACAAAATAAATTTGAGGGTACAAAATTAAAACATTGCTTTTAATTAATATTCCTATGTTTTATCAAATACATAAATACATACTTTAAGATTTTCATTTGAAAGATTTCAAATAAGAAAAATAAACTGATTGTCTAATTGAGACATCTAATTAACAATTACAATAAGATTCCTTGTGTTATCTCTTGCCACTGACAAAAGTACTCTTTGTTATCATTCAACTAAGAAATTGGACTGCCTGAAGCCATTACACCATTCTTCTCTAGTAGGAACTTAAATAAAGCTTATTTTTTTAACCTATATCATATACATAAAACATGTTCCTCTCCCCCACCCCCAAATGTGATTCTTGTAACCCTGATTTGCCCTATACCCTTAATACCAAATTAATATTTTTAATTTAAAGACCAACATAGGGGAGTATCAAATTTAATAAAATGTTTCAAGATAAACAGTGAAGGAGTGGTAACGTTAAATACTTTCCTATAGATTATTTTAGTAAGAAAAATGATTTGAATTTAAATTAAACATTCCTAAACTTAGACAATGTAGTACATGAATATTAATTGAGCTATTAAAAAGGTATAAAATTCTATTTACCATTTGTATTACAACTGTTCTTCACTTTTCAAATATTACATGTAAAATATATATGAGGGTAATTATAGATGTCTTTTACTGATTTAGTCATGAGATATGTATTTATTACATATAAATAAACAGGATTTGAAATAAAGATCTGTTTGCATTTTATGTATAAATAAACATATGTGTCAGAATATTCCCCCTGAGGGTTTACAATTACTATCATCCCTGAAGATTTTCTAATTACATGCTTACAATTGGGAATATTGATGTCAATTCAAGGACCACTAGGGATTCAGTCTACTGATAAAGTCATAAACTACATGAAGATTTGTATTTCATAAACAATATTCCCCCTCAACAACCAGGTAGACTAAAAACAGAAAAGACTTGTTATGCCATAATACAAAATAAAAAAATGAGATAAGAAGTAATCAGCTAATAACTTACACTGGTAAAAGAAATCTTATAACTCTATATTGTAATATTCTAGTGAACTTATTTTATTAGGAGCCCAGGTTAGATGAAAAATTAACAGAGAATCAGGCCATGAGGCTGACCAACTAGGTCCAGTCTTAAAAAAATTATGATAATTTATGTGTACCAATTGTATAAGATGTACACATTTGGTGGGTGACTATCATTGCTTTAAAATATTTATGAAATTGTAGTTGGATTTATCCTCAATCAATAACATATTCTTACCTCTCTAAATTTCTGATTTGCAATACCATGTTATAAAGAGCATCACTATTTATACCATACAATAAGGATGTTTATATGGTCCCTGCAATTACAACTCTTACCTGTCAACTTTGTCTTCATAGCTAAAGTGTTCAAAGTAATTTGAGGCAAGTTAACATGACTATTGAGTTCCTGCTAAATTTAATACAAACAGTTGGATTATTAACACTAATGATCTAATCACATGTATATGAATTGGAGGGATAATTAGATCCTGGAAATGAACAAGACTACAGGAAACATGTTTACTTAAACCGGTTAACCCTCAAGGAATTACTTATTGTTATAAATCTGGACATACATTATCAAAATAAAAATGAAATTCATCAAATTGGATTTGAAAAAAGATTTAACACTTAAAACTGCTCAAACTTTTTAAAATAAGTAATATATGATACAGTACAAAGGCTACATTATAATGTTAATTTTCATGTGTATATGTTTTGTATGTATGCCTTCTATGCTCTTTATTGTTATGTCTATTTCATGTTTGTCCTTTTAAGTATTTGCATGCTTTATGTGATTGTGCATTTACATTGGTTTAAAAGCTGATTTGAGTTTGTGTTTCACTGTTGTATAGCTTGTGACCTTAAATAAAGTAATTTCTTGATTTAGCACTCAAAATAAAAATCACAAAATCTCTTAATCACAAGATTCGAAACGATAGTATAATGGTATAATTGTGGTCTATTTACGGATCACACCACTCACTACAAACAAAACCATAACAGTCATATATATACCTCCAAACCATAAAGCAAATTGTATTTAAAAATCTTGGCACTAAAATACTTTTAATTACAGTCTAAAATGGTTTCCTCATATATCTGTGTTTCTTCCCGAGAAAAAACGTTCTAATGATTTGTTAAAAAAAAACATATACAAATACCCAACGACCAACTATGGTAACATCCCCGGTTTTACCCTACCACTGAAAGTTATACCACATTGTCGTACTATGTGTATATATTAGAATTCTAATTTATACTAGTTCTTAGTATTCTGGATTCTACTGAATTCCAATTTGTAATTTAATATACATAACGTGAGCAGGCGCAGATCCAGCCATTTTGAAAGGGGGGGGGGGGGGTCCCAACCCCTGGGACACTATTAAACCTTTCTCATAATATAAATAAATATTGAAAAAAAGAAGGGCTCCAACTCCCGGCCCTCTGGATCCGCCAATGGTGAGGGAACCTAATTTTTTCCTATTTTAAACTCAACATATAACGTGTTACATCCACGACACTTACCAAGGAGGAAATCATGAATCTGAAGTCTGTTCTATGTTGATTATACAAATCAGAATTAAAAAAAAAAACCTGAATTGATCTATGAATATACACATGTTAAATCGATCTTTAAAATCCCAAATGTTGCAAAGTACCTGTTCTACCTCCATGACAAATATATTGTTGTCCCCGCAGAAAAAGCCCCAAACAACATCGTTTTTGGCATGTAAATTACATTACATAAACTGCTTGATTAACGCATTTAGTATTGACAATTCACTTGGAAGCCGAAACATATCCCCAAGACACTTATCAAGGAGAAAATCCTGAATAATCATAGGCCTGTTTTATCTTTGGAATTTTAACCAAAGAAGAAGAACTGGATCTTCCTTCAATGTATTGGATACCTAAATTACATAAGTTTCCTAACAAACAACGTTATATTGCTGGGTCTTCCAAGTGCTCCACGAAACCTCTTTCTAAATTATTAACACCAATTTTTTCAGCAATCAAAGTCGGTCTTTGAAGATATTGTGAAACTACCTATTCTAGAGTCGGCGTGAATCAGATGTGGGTACTAAAAAATGCCCAAGACCTGTTTGAGTACATACAGTCTAAGACTTTCATCTTGCAGTATAATTAAAACATTTGACTTTTATACCCTTTACACACGTATTCCCATTTACAAACTAAAAGACAAATCGGAAAATTAAATTGGTCCTGCTTTGTTTCATATAAAAGAATGGCCAACGTCGATACAAGTATCTTGTCTTAGGGAGGGATAAACCGCGTACTTTGAAAAACTTTGACTCTGAGTCAAATAACAAAATCTCTAAACCTGATTATAGCAACATATTTGTTACGTTTGAAGGACGTGTTTTTCAACAAACAATCGACATGCCCATGGCAAAAATTGTGCTCATCCTCTTCCCGACTTGTTCCTTTATTCATACGAGGCTGACGTCATACAGGAGCTTCTTAATTTGAAAGAATGAAAAGAAGCCAGCATTATCCTTTAACTTCACTTTTCGCTATATAATGATGTCCTCTCACTAAATAATTCAAAGTTTGGTGACTATGTTGAACATATCTATCCCATCTAACTTGAGATAAAGGATACAACAGAAACAGTTAAGTCTGCCTCATATCTTGACTTACATCTAGAAATTGACAATGAGGGTCGGTTGAGAACATAACTTTACGACTAAAGAGATGATTTCAGCTTCCCAATTGTGAAATTTTTATTTTTATATGTAGCAATATTCCAGTAGCGATGTCACTTTTGGTGTTTCTTCAGCCTCTCTTTTTTGACAGTTTTTCACCTACATTTATTTAAAAAAAAAAACAGACAAAAGTTTTCATTTTGTATTTTATTTTGTAGATGTGTCCTAATTTTCTATAAAGTTCCACAAATTTAAAATTCATACTGAATCATAGAAAAAAAGGTTGGACCGACCTAAAAACGTCCCAAGATTCTGAAATATGGAACCGTTGCTGTAACAAATGCACCAATGCGTAACTTTATATATATCCTTAAAAATCGAATAACTGATGTTTTGTTTTATTTCTCCACATATTGAAAACAATTTAACAATAGTCCATCCACGCTTACTACACATTTTGAAAAAAAATGTTACATGTGACATATTCTAATTATTCAAGTTGACTTTTTGTGGGCGTCGCATTCAACGTTTCCTTATATTTCACCTTTTTCACTGAATACTTCATCTGTTGATATATAATGTAAATAATGTGAACTTTTTGTGTACGTTT